GTTACTACTAGCGTGGCACTTGTTTCTAGTAGCTTCTTGTTGTAGACTTTTCCTTTAACTAAGCACTCTGTCAGCAATGCGATGGCCTTGGGCCTCTGCGCTTTCTATACGTCTTGGAATTCACCAAGATCGCTTCTTCTTTAGGTAACGAAGTAAGAAACGATTCTACCGAAGTAACTCCTGAACGGTCTTCGACGTGTTTCAGTAAGAAAAGGAACCTTATAAAAACTACTTCCCTTGGCGCAACCATGATGAAACAGCAACGAAATCTGACACGGCTGAGTTCCGGTCCAATGATTTTCCAAAATGTCTTGCTTCAGATCTTTGATCGCTAAGCTCAAAGGTAGAGTCAACTCCTGCAAGAGGCACAACTGAAAAGAGTTTAGGTTTTGAGCTTCCAACAAGTAGTAGTAACAAGAAGCTAGTAGAAACAAGTGCATCGCTTCTAGTAACAAGTGCCTTACTAGTAGTAACAATATTTGCTATTAGGAACAAGTGCATCGCTTCGAGTGAGCTGAAGGCACTGAGAAACAAGCCATCTCTTGTTCCGAACAGTAGGGTAGTGACGCAGAACACCTACGAAGAAGCATTCTTGTAAAACAAACAGGTCGAAAGACCTAAAAGAAAACGGAGATAACAAAGAGGCAACATGCGCACATCCTGGACTTCCAAAAAAACTCTTGAATGTTTTGCCTGCCACTGTTTGAAGTTTTGAGAGTTGGACTTCATTAGCAGGTATTTGCATCTCTTCTTTTTTCCTGCTTGCTTTTCAGATTCTTTCTTTAGCACTTCTTTCCTTCTCTCTTTCTTTTCCTGACAACAACCCCCTTCTGTTGCAAGAACACGGTCAAAAGGGGATCATCGAAACATCTCTGGCCCTGAAACATCAAAGCCGTTGGTCTCACAAATGCACCCAGGAGGGCCGGTGACAGTGGTTTTCTGAGAGTACTTAAAGTGCTAACCACTGCATCGTCCTTGCTACTAGTAACTAGTAGTGATGCCCTTTGTTACTCGTAGCTTCTTGTTACTACTAGTAATGCCAGGAGCTACTAGTAGCTTCTTGTTCCTAGTAGGCGATGCGATGCCCTTTGATACTAGTTAAGTGCAACATCGTCCTTGGTGTTGTCATCATTGGCGAAGATTAGTTTAAACTGCACCTCGTGAGGAGCAAGTGAACTCGCACGTGAAAGCTGACCATCTGGTTGGGTGAAGTGTGCCACAAAGAGATTCAGGTGAATCTGTGGTACAGCGAATCGTGCTCTAGTGACTCTAGTGCTCTATGGTGACAAAGTCAGCACGGCTGACGATCCAGTCCAGCATAGCTCGGCCTTCGTTGAGTCTACTCCATTCTCCATATCATGAAGTTCGCCTTGCAAGAAAGCAACTGTGCAACATTGACAAAGACATGCTCAAATAGGCAACAGAACCCAGATGATTTGAAAAAACACACTTTGCTCTCAACAGACACTTGCTCTGATCAACTAGCTTCTCATTGACAAAATTAGTAGTAACAAGAAGCTACTAGGAACACGTTTAATTTAGACACTTTACTCTTCCACCCGACTTGTGGGCAGTGCCAATCGTATCGAGTCTGAAAAACAATCAAGTTGTGCAACGCAAAACTCCTCTTGAACAGCCCTCCCTGCCTACTATCTGAAATAGACGAGACCTATCTAATTACATCTGATTTGAGCCCGCAAAAAGCGAATGAATGTGCTGTCACATCCGTTACAAACCTGGAACACTTGCTAACAACAGCCTTACTAGTAGTAAACAAGAAGCTAGTAGAAACAAGTGCCTTACCAGTAGTAACAAGAGCCCCCAACAAGCAGGATGTCACATTGAATCATTTTAGATCTTAGCGATGGCCTCCAATCTACTAGCGATGGCCTCCAACCCACTTGGAGGGGTCCATAACATTGATTTAATGTCCGAGGCGCCGTCCACCCCGTCATTTTACTTGCTAAAGCAAGAGCAACTCCAGCTAGCTGAGGCTAGCTTTCGTGACTAGTGATGGCCTCCGACCCACTAGCAATGGCCAATTGCTTTAGGTCTCGGTCTTAGCCCAACTCTGACGCTAGTAGTAACAATGTTCGCTACTGGGAACAAGTGCATCGCTTCTAGTAACAAGTGCCTTACTAGTAGTAACAAGAAGCTAGTAGGAACAAATACCTATTTGTTCCTAATAGCTTCTTGTCACTACTAGTAAGGCCCTTGCTCCTAGTAGCGATGCACTTGTTCCTAGTAGAATCACCAAGATTCTTAGGCCAACTCTGAAGACAACGCTGTCCACCGCCCGCCGATCATTTTGAAGCCAGCGCTCTGCCGGCGGTGCATTTGCGACGCCGCACCCAATCGGGCACAGCACACCCACACCACGAATTGGGTGAAGGCGATAACCTCGGAATTGAGCGTCAGAACGCTACTAGGGGCTCCTGGCCTTGCTACTAGTAACAATACAGCTACATCGCTATTATTCATTTCCATTGCAGTTTGTTCTCTCATTTGGGAATGTCTGACGGAGCAACTTGTTCATATTTGGGATTGAAATCAGGTGGCCTTTGCTTCCTTCGCCTTACTTATTTCTGCAAAGGAACTCAGTGGAGCCCTGCGAAACCGGCTCTGGGCAAATGCCCTTGCTGGGTTCGATTGTCCCCAGCAAAGCTGCGGATCATCGAGAAGGACTGGCGCATTGGACCAAAGGAACAGCAAATGTGTCTCTTGGACCGCAAAAGTGTGTGGGGAGAACGTGCTGCACCTAGTAGCAAAGGGCATCGCTACGAACGGAGCAAGGACACTACTAGGGGCGCTCCTGGCCTTACTACTAGTAGCTACTGGGGGCTCAAAAATCCTCAGGTCTGATCTGAGAGCTTTTAAAGATGATACCAAACTGATCCAAACTGTTCCCTGCACCGGGGATTTTACTTATCAACAAACACACTAGCAGAAATCCTCAAAATTGGGAGGGCAAGATGGAGAAGCCCAGCTTCTTTAAGCGAGAGGGCTCGACTTGAACTTCTGGAAAAAGACGTCCCCAAACATGTTTTCTTGCAAGTTATACTTACACTTACACTATGGTATATATGTCTTTTTCTTGTCTTTCTTCCGACCTTTCGACATTTCTTTGGACCTTTAGCCCCTTCTATGGATTCTTTCTTTTTCATTGCCTTTTTTTTAAATCTTATCACGTCTTATCTCATCTTTCTTTCCTTTTCTCTTATCTTCTTTCTAATTTTGGTCCCTCCGACCTTGGCTTCAACGTCGTTGTGGGCACTGAAGCCAGAACCACCAGTGCTGAGTCTCAGGAGGTCCTGCAACAGGGGCGTCTTCCGATTCGAGTCAAAGGAAGTGCTATCGTTCGTCATCTTAAATTAATAGCTTCTTAATACTAGTAGCGTGGCACTTGTTACTACTAGTAAGGCACTTGTTTCTAGTAGCTTCTTGTTAAGAGCGCTTCTTCTTTTTTGCCGATCTCTTTCCTAATTGCAATGGCCTCCAACCTACTAGTGTCCTTGCTCCTAGTAACGATGCCCTTTGCTCCTAGTAGCTTTATTTTTTCTAGCAGCAATGGCCTCCAACTTTTTTGTTTTTTTTTAAAGCCCCGCTCCTACGTGGCTAAGTAGGTGACTAGCAATAGGTAGCTGCTACCTACTGGACGCAGGATAGTGTTCGCACTGCTCATTTTGTTCCTAGACTTTTAGGGAAGCTTAACTTAATTAAGGAGTAGTAAAGTTCCAAACCTAAACGGCCCAAACCTCTTCCTCCAGGCGTTCTTAGCGCAAGGGGTGGTCGAAGACCAAACGCGGCCAACACTTGTGAGTTGTTCATTCCCCCGACTTGCAACGAACACAGAACAAGTCGTCTGCACTGCCTCTTCACCCTTCAACTTCTTCCCAGTCACCTTGGGGCGCGGCTGTCACGACACTCGAGTTGCACTTTTCCGTCCAACCCACTATTGATGGCCTCCAACCTTAGAGCGATGGCCTCCAACCCTGAAGGAATTCTATTTTCAAGATCGGAAGGGAAAAGAACTGAGGAGGACAATTCCATTAGTCACCCAAAGCTATCCTCACTTCTCTAAGCGCGGCCGAAGCCACCGGGCATTTCATCTCCTTGCTGACGATGTCCTTCCAAAGATTTCCCAAGAAGAAAGGAAAGGAAAGGGAAAGGGAAAGACAATCAAGGAACAATGACAGCAAGTAACAATGTTCGCTACTAGTAACAAGTGCCTCGCTTCTAGTAACA